AGTATCTATAACAACCCAAACACACAGCATTTCAGAATCAGACATCCCCAGTTATTAATTTCATTCACTCACCAGATCTGAACGCCCTGTTAAAAAACGTCACACCCATGAGTAGAGGTAATGCAGCCTGATGATATTTACACCACATCAGGGGAACGCTATCTGACAGGGTTTAGAAGTTCATCAGATACCATTCCCCCCTTGTTAGACAGGGGTACGCTATCTGACGGGGTTAAGCCTAATATGGGTGAGTAGAACATGATGTAATAACGTATATAATAACTTGTGCCTGGTACTTTGGACAAAAATGCATTGATTCTTCTTAAAAGTGCTACACAAGTTAGCTTATGCTAGAACCATCACTTTCTGTCTAACTCAAATCATTATACTGAAGAAATTTCTCACAACTTTTTACAGCATTGGATGTCATGAATGATGATGATCATCATGTAGATCCAGCCAGATGTTCAATCCTCTATCAGACCCTCACTGCACCTGCAGCAGGTTCCTCCATACCTGAGATCTTCCAGTCTCCAGTCTGGATCCTTCAGTCCAGCTGACAGCATCTCCATTCCTGACTCTCCTGGATGATTGTAGCTCAGGTCCAACTCTTTCAGATGGGAGGGGTTGGATCTCAGAGCTGAGACCAGAGAAGCAAAGCCTTCCTCTGAGATCAGACAGTCTGACAACCTGCAGAAACACAATTTAACCCACGACTGAAACATGAAAAAGTTCAGACATAGCCCAAGTTCTGAAGTACACATTTTAAGTTTGCAAAATCCTAAAATACAATATCAATCAATTCAATTCAATTCAGTTTATTTATATAGCACTAATTCACAACACAAGTCATCTCAAGGCACTTTACAGTTCAACCAAATTGTATTTTCTTCTGAGAGTAATGAAAAATAATATTTGAAATGGGCAGTTGTATTTATGGGGGATTAGATCAGCATATTTGTCATTATAAATAAAGAAGAAGAAGAATCCTAGGTTTCTATTTAACACAGTTGCCAAACTCAGAGTCATAACTCAATTTGACTGTATAATCTGGTTGAATAGTAAAGTGCCTTGAGATGACATGTGCTGTGAATTGGAGCTATAGACATAAACTGAATTGATTAACACATGAGCTAACCATTCCCCTGGGTCTCAGTAGTAATAACTTAATGGATTCCATTAAAAAGCAATTCTGTAAGAAATTATATTTATGGCATCCCCTGAATATGATCAGGCCCGTTGCAACAAGGCAAGCAAACCAAGCAATTGCTTGGGCCTCGAGCTGCACAGGGCCCCCCAGACAATGGCTGGCCTTGTCCAAAACAGGAATCCAAAAGTCCAACTAATAATGTAAAGCAAACCAGAACCATGGAGAAATCTGGGGAAACCAAACACGAGGAGCCAGGGAGAGACGAGGTAGGAATACAACAGCATGAGAAGCCAGCAACGACTAAAATATATCTAGAAACTACAACAAAATAGGAACTAAACAAATAAAACTGGAAAACATGGAGCAAAGTAAAGCACAACAGAACCAAGACCATGACAGTGCCCCCCACTTAAGGGCGGATCCCAGACGCCCTAAAATGTCCAGAAACAAAAAACAACCCACCCAGGGTGGGCAGAAGGGGGACCAGCAAGGAGGGCACGAAACACAAAACCAAACGTCAGAGTCCAAAAAACAAAACAACCCACCCAAAGGCGGGCGAAGGCAACGGAAAGTCTCTGGAGGCCGGCCGTGGGGCCGGAGGCGAGGCAGAGTCTCTGGGGACCGGCCGATGGGCCGGCGACGAATGAGGGCCTCTGGAGGAGGCCGTCTCTGCTGCAGGGGCCGAGGAGGATAGCGTCTGTGCTGCTGCTGCTACAGCTTATTGGCTGACATGCATTACAAAAAAATAACTGCACAAAGCCAAACTAAGGTGGTAAATACTCTCAAAAAAATATAAACACAACAGTTTTGATTTTGCTCCCGCTTTTTATGAGATGAACACAAAGATCTAAAACTTTTTCCACATACACAATATAACCATTTCCCTCAAATATTGTTAAAATCTGTGATAGTGAGCACTTCTCCTGCACTGAGATACTCCATCCCACTTAACAAAGATTTCTATCTAAGGAAAACCAGCTGATTGCATCAATTTATCCCCCTTTTCTTAAAAATTTACAATTTTCACTCATTTTCTCAGTTTGTGCTTCCATTTCTTGTACTAAATTTCTCATGGCCACTTTATTTACTTTATTACTGTTAATTGTATTTTTGCTTTTCTATGAGTAGCAGCTAATTACAGAAATAAATGTGTGAAAAAAACACTACTAAAGAATAAACCATTTCTGATTTTAATGAGATAATCACGGGAACATTTAGCCTTGGATGTAAGAGAACGCTTCCAGTTTAGCAACACTGCCATTGAATCTGTAGATCTATCCACCATTGTCTCACTTTTCTAGTTTTAGTCTGTGTGAGCAACTATTGGATACTGAACATCCACCCACACTAAGTACCTTTAGCAAATAAGAAGCACATATTCCACAATCTCTGTTCCTACTCTGTCTCTGCACAGAGAGCATTCACTCTTTGTTCCAGAGTCCACTTAAACGGTAAGTATTCACTTTAATCAGTCAAGCTGTTTTAATGTACGGCATTAAACTGCAATTAACAGTGTTACCCATATGTAAAAAGTAATTAGCCTTTTTTTATTAATAAAAGCACAGCACATCTTTTTCCTTTTAAGATCTGTTAGTTTTTCATTAGCTGTCAAGCTAAAGAATATAAAATTTTCAATATTTCAGTGTTATCTTCATTAGCCTTATCTTATTTCATCACATCCCATTTCTTTCATCTTAACCTTGAGTCATTTATGTAGTTATGCTGCTGTAGGCTGCTCAGTAGGAGGTATTTGTACAAAGTCGTCACTGCTATATCACTATCTCGGATAAGTGTTTAGTTAATAAGTGTTTAGTTAATAATTAATGAAAATTACTAGGTTTCTAAGATTAGAAAACTTTTAACCAATTTTTTTCTGACTTGGCCGTTGGTGGAGGAAGACACTTTTATCAATCAATCAATCATCAGTCAATCAATCAATGCCATTGGCTCATTCTTATGGCTGACATTTGAGCTTCAGTTGTGTGTATGATGAGTGCGTTCAATTTGTCCATCACTGCTGTCCACAGGCCATCGTCCTTGAAAAGATGGAAGTTTTGCAACCGGCGCTGAAGTTCTGGATACATTCACAGGTGTCCGCAGGTTGGGGGGTTGGGCGTTGGTGGGAGCCGGCAGTTCTGGGCCCTCTGCCATAACATCCAGGGGAGGTTTGATAAGGAAGAGGTTTAATCCAAGTAAACACTTATTGTTTTGAGAGCAGGCTGCACAGGAATGTTTCATCAGCCTTTGTTGTCTTTTTTTGCTGACTCCACATAGTGATACCAATATTCTGATCTTCTTGGGCTTTCTCGCCTTGAAGCGAGCTGCACATTCAAGAGCTCACAGTCCTGCTTGTTCGCGTTTGCGAGTGTGTGAACTGCTGCTGACAGCCTGATCAGTGCCCAAATCGCTGCCGACATCCTCTGTAATTGTAGATACATCAGGCATCCGCCAAATCCAAACAGGAGAAACCCAAGTATCATAAATCTCAGAAATCCATACATCTTTGACATTCTCCACTGACAACACAGTAAAACACACTTTCCTCCAAGCCTTCCAGGAGTTCATAGTGTATCCCATGAAGTATTTCCCAGCAGGAGATGAAGGATCCCCCTTTCCCTGTCTTCCAGTTTAGAAAATTTGATCAATTTCATTTAAAGACCAGCTGACCAGATCTATTGTTTGAATTCAGGTGATATGAAGAGGGAGCTCAGAAAAGACAAGACACAGCAGGGAGAGAGCAGGGATGAATAGGAGCAGCAAAATGTGACCGCCTCCTTCAAGAGTCAGAACAAAAGAATTTTCTCTGTCTCCCTCCCTCTCTGTCTACCCTGCTTAGCTGTGCAGCTCATCTTTTGTTGGAGCCTATCTCACATATCTTCCTAAAACCTTTAAACTAAATAATGAATCTGTTTAGCTGGTCTCTTAATGCAGTTGATCAAATTTTGTCAACAGGGAGACAAAGTAAGGGAGAACCCTCGTGTCAAAATGGTACATTTTTCTCCAGGTACACAATGGATTCTTGGCAGAAGTGGAAGATTGTGTGCCTAACGATGGTGTCTGTTGCATACATAATTGGATTTTTGATGACAGGAATTCTACTGTTTGGAGTTGGTGAATATCTGGCACAATTAGGAAGATGTCAGGGGCCGTTTGGGCCATTTTTTTAAGCTATCCAAAATGTACGATGGGATCTGCAGAGCTATCAACACTCAGACTAATATGTTAAGGTAGCAGAACCGTAAACTGGATGTAATCCTTGCACATAATCAAAGGCTGGCTGTGGTTCCTGGACTCACATGAGAAATGGTATAATCTTGGATAAAGCTGTAAGCTCGGATCTTGGCTGAGTGATCGATAAAATTTGTACTATTGGGTTTTGCCATGATCAGACTACAGAAAAAACTCTGAAGGCTGGCAGAAAGGGTTAACAGCCAGCCTGACCTAAATAATCTGTTTCTATCTCAAATTTGGCTCCCTGCTGGCCTGAGAGACCAGTGTCTACTCAACTCTCCTGGAATGAAATGTAAATATGAGGCTCTGGCCTATGCCCCCCTCCCTTCCCTGCAGACATCTGTAAAGCTGCCTTGTTGGTCGGATGATGAACTGTTATATCTGTCAAGGACAATGACCCACGGCTTCATGGACTTATTCTGCGCACTCACATGCAAACACAATGATGCTTAGATAAGAAAACTTGCCTCTCATTCTCCAATAATCATTCAGCAAGATGTCACATTATCTGTTTTAACTGTATCCTGCTAAAGATACAAACAAGTACAAAAATTTGTTTTCCTCCTTTTACCTACTGTGATCCCTTTCTTTTGTTTTCTTACTATAAGGGCAGCTCCTTTTATGTCAGACACCATGTCCCCCATTAAAATGTCTGAGTAATGTCCTTCTGTGTCTTTTTGTCCCGTTGGACGGCGTGTACCAAAACTAAATCTCCCTTCGGGGGTTGATGAAGTATAATTGAATTGAATTGTGAATTTACACTATATACATAAACTGACTTTAATAGAATTTGTAATAAAAAAAAAACATTTTCATATATTTTTGGTAGCAGTTAGTGACATGAGTAAGGATTAAGAACATTTACCTGAGAGTTTCTAGTTTGCAGTTTGGGCTCTCCAGTCCATCAGATAGAAGCTTCACTCCTGAATCCTGCAGGTTGTTGTTACTCAGGTCCAGTTCTCTGAGACTGGAGGACTGGGAGCTGAGAACTGAGGACAGAGCTGCACAGCTTCTCTCTGAGAGGAAACAACCACTCAGCCTAAGGAGATGGGGAGGTTATTACATTTTTTCTGTAAAAGTTTAAAAAACAATCCACTGGACTTGGTTTCCAAGATTTGAAGACGTTTTGCTTTCCCTTCAAGAAGCTTTCTCAGTTCAAATGTCTGGATCCGCAGTGAGTGTGAGACTTTATATAGACAAGGCCTTGTATTGCTTGGAAACATGCAAATGGAAACCGACGAGCCAAACTACCCGCTTGTCAGTTTCTATTTGCATGTTTCCAAGCAATACCATTAAATACCATTAAACTGAAACAATATGAATCAATATTTAAATCTTTATCAGCAGATTTCTTTTACTGTCAACAATAAATACAGTAACAATCAGTGTCCTTACAGAGCTTTGTTGGAGGCTTTAACCACTGGCAGCAGCCTCAGAAGAACCTCCTCTGAAGCTGAGTATTTCTTCAGGTCAAAAACATCCAGATTTTCTCCTGATGACACCAAGATGAAGACCAGAGCTGACCACTGAGCAGGAGACAGTTTATCTATGTAGAGACTTCCAGAACTCACAGACTGTTGGATCTCCTGTACCAGAGAACGATCCTTCAGTTCATTCAGGCAGTGGAACAGATTGATGCTTTTCTCTGCAGACTCATTCTCACTGATCTTCTTCTTGATGTACTGAACTGTTTTCTGATTGGTCTGGGAGCTACTTCCTGTCTGTGTCAACAGACCTTTTAGGAGACTCTGATTGGTCTGCAGTGAAAGTCCCAGGAGGAAGCGGAGGAACAAGTCCAGGTGTCCATTTGGACTCTGTAAGGCCTGGTCTACAGCTGTCTGATGGAGAGACTTTGGTTCATTCTGCATAGATGTTTGTTTTTCTTCCATCAGGTTGATTCCAGAGTTGATGAAGGTCAGATGAACATGAAGAGCAGCCAGAAACTCCTGAACACTCAGATGGACGAAGCAGAACACCTTCTCCTGGTACAGCCCTCTCTCCTCTCTAAAGATCTGTGTGAACACTCCTGAGTAAACTGAGGCTGCTGTGATATCGATGCCACACTCTGTCAGGTCTGATTCATAGAAGATCAGCTTTCCTTTCTGCAGCTGATCAAAAGCCAGTTTTCCCAGAGACTCAATCATCTTCCTGCTCTCTGGACTCCAGTGTTGATCTGTTTCAGCTCCTCCATCATACTTGATCTTCTTCACTTTGGTCTGAACCACCAGGAAGTGGATGTACATCTCAGTCAGGGTGCTGGGCAGCTCTCCTCCCTCTCTGGTCTTCAACACATCCTCCAGAACCGTAGCAGTGATCCAGCAGAACACTGGGATGTGACACATGATGTAGAGACTTCTAGATGCCTTCATGTGGGAGATGATCTTACTGGCTCGCTTCTTATCTCTGAATCTCTTCCTGAAGTACTCCTCCTTCTGTGGGTTGTTGAACCCTCTGACCTCTGTCACCATGCCAACACAGTGAGGAGGGATCTGATTGGCTGCTGCAGGTCGTGTGGTTATCCAGAGGAGAGCAGAGGGAAGCAGTTCCCCTCTGATGAGGTTTATCAGCAGAACATCCACTGAGGTGGACTCTGTAACATCAGTCAGGATCTCCTTGTTGGTGAAGTCCAGAGGAAGTCGACTCTCATCCAGACCATCCAAGATGATCAGAACCTGGAAGTCTTCAAAGCTGCTGATTCCTTTGGTTTCAGTGAAGAAGTGATGAACAAGTTCCACCAAGCTGAACTTTTTCTCTTTCAGCACATTCAGCTCTCTGAAGGTGAATGGAAATATGAACTGGATGTTCTGGTGGGCTTTGCCTTCAGCCCAGTCCAGAGTGAACTTCTGGGTTAAGACTGTTTTCCCAATGCCAGCCACTCCCTGTGTCATCACTGCTCTGATTGGTTGATCTCTTCCAGGTGAGTTATCAAATATGTCTTCTGGTCTGATTATTGTTTCTGGTCTGTTTGGTTTCCTGGATGCTGCTTCAATCTGTCTGACCTCATGTTCATCATTGACCTCTCCAGTTCCTCCCTCTGTGATGTAGAGCTCTGTGTAGATCTGGTTCAGAGGGGTTGGACTTCCTGCTTTAGCGATTCCCTCAAACACAAACTGGAACTTCTTCTTCAGACCTGATTTAAGTTTATCTTCACAAACTCCTGGTTGTTCTTAATTAAAACAAAAAATAAAATCAAGACAGAAAGAAAGTCATAATCTGACGATAATTCGATTAAATATAATTTCACTCCCTAAGACATCACTAAATTTGTGTTTTATCCATCAGGTTAAATCTTTGCAATAATCCTCTTACTGCTCAGCAGAAGGTCAGCCAGCTCCTCCTCCTTCATCATTCTCAGGAAGTTCACTGTGATCTTCATCAGTGCTTCTCTGCTGCTCCTCCTTTCCTGCTGTTCATCCTTACCTCCACCCACCTCCTTCTCATCTCTCTGACTCTCTGGGTATTCCTGGCCACTGGGACTCAGACCCTTCTTGATCTTTTTCAACTCATCCTTCACAAAACTGACAATTCGGCCCTCCAGCAACTGGAACAAAATAAAATTTCAAGGATATATTACGACAAATCCAAACCATGCTAGACACAGTGATTGTCTACTGTTCTATCAAGTGTTACATGGAGATGACTGTTGACAAAAGACATGATTAAGTAGTTGCTGACCATTACAGACCATAAATATGGAGTCCAGCTGTATTTGATGTTGATGGGCAGACAGACCACTGTTAACCTGTGTGTTCTGCTGTTCCACTCTGTGGAGCAACCAGAAAGAATTAGCCCACATTATCTCTGTCCACAGTAGACAAACACAATGTAAAGGTACACAAAGTCATACAAAGAGATTGCATTAAACCATTTGACTCCCTGTGGTTCTGAAGGTCTGCTCATGCTGATGGTACAACAAAGAATTAAAAACTTTCTTTGGCTTGGCTCAGTAATGATGGTGACATTTTTCTATAATTTTTTTTCTGTTTAAACCACTTTACTGTTTTTTCAACCATCGGAAAATATCAGGCAACAACTGCAAGAAATGCCAACAATAAAAACATTTATTAAGGCCAAGTAATAAAGGATTACTGTCAGGACTCCTGTTCTGTGTGTTTGTGTTCTGTGTTTGTCTCCCGTCCTCCACCAGGAGGCGCCTGGTTCTGGTCCACCTTCCCACACACCTGCTGATGGTTTCCTCGTTAACGGAGTGTTCTTAAGCTGCTGACTGCCACTACCTCGACGCCAGAGTGTTTGCCAGTTTTGGGTACTCTAGCCAAGCTGAGTTTTGCTGAGTCTAACTGAGTTCTTGTCAACCTGAGTCTTAACATTGTTTGTCTTTTGCCTCTCAGCAGGAAGTCATCCTGCAAACTGGATTTTTCAGACCTTCCCTCCCTGGAAGGATCAACTGAGCTTCAAACTGAGCAGGGGTTCAAACAAGAGGTTTGGATCCACTTTCCCCAAGAGATCGTTTGAGCTTCACACTGAGAAAGGGATTCATCTCCATTACGACCCGTTCAAGTACCGCAGGAAATCTGAGTGGCAGTCAGTTTCTCCGTTCACCTGCAAACAACCGCATTCTGGGTAAACCCTGTTTTGCCCTCCACCGAATCAGACAAACAGTGGAATTACAGAATACAGACTGGAGTCAAAGATTCAACAACTTTGCTGGAAACGTGAGTCAGCAACCAAATCCTCTTCTCCAAGTTCATGAATCAAATTTCCCACAGAACCTGAACTAATCGCTGTGCCTTCCCCGCGCTTTTCAGTTCCGGTTGAGCAGTGTTCAGAGCAACACATGTCTCTGCATTATCTCTTCAATAAAACCTGTTAAACCCTTTCCCCTGGTCATCCTGTTTGGGCTTCTGCATTTGGGTCTGAACTTTAGTAAAATCATGACATAACAATGAATCCAAAGGTAAAGAAAAGCAAGGCAAGTGATGTTTATTTGTACAGCACAATGCAGTACATTGATAATTGAAATTGCTTTACATGAATTAGATGATAATACAGAAGAGAAATAACAGCAGAAATAAGATAAAAAATGTGTAAAATAATCAAACAGTTCGATCAGAACCTTAAACTAATGAGCAGCAGAGAGTTCAAAGCATTAATATCCATCCATTTTCCATCTCCCTTTAACCCAGCTGGGGTTGTGAGGGGTGCTGGTGCCTAACTCCAGCTGTCTACGGGAGAGAAGCAGTGTCCACTCTGGACAGCTCTCCAGTCCATTGCAGGGCAACACAGAGACAAACAGAAAAAACAACCATTCACACTCAAACTCACACCTAAGGAGGATTTAGAGATGCCAATTAACCTAACAGTCTGCTGATGAAGGTTCTCAGTCATCCAGGTCATAGTCATTCCGTAAAAATTCAAAAAATATCCACTGGACTTGGTTTTCAAGATTTGAAGACGTTTCTCCACCTCTCCAGGAAGCTTTCTCAATTCAAATGTCTGGATCCGCAGTGAGTTTGAGTCTTATATGGACAACGCCTTGTATCGCTTGGAAACATGCAATGGTAACCGATGAATGGGTCGTTTAGTTCCATCGTTAGCCTGTAATATCTGAACCTGTCTATGATTCTAGGGGTTGGTCGTTAAAGGGGGGATTGCCATTAAGGGGTGGATTGTCTCCTGTAATACCTGAAACCTGTCTATGATTCTAGGGGTTGATCGTTAAAGGGGGGATTGCCATTAAGGGGTGGATTGTCTCCTGTAATATCTGAACCTGTCTATGATTCTAGGGGTTGGTCGTTAAGGAGGTATTGTTCACCGGCTGGAGCGGGTAGGTCCCTCGTTCCTCTGTGATGGGGTGGGGGGTTTGGTGATATCTGGAAGGGATCATGTCTATGATTGAATTGTATGTTTTTAGAAGCTGGAATCTGAGTCCACCACCTCTGTTAAAAGTTGTTTTTTCTCTCTTAACATAGATGGCTTCCTTCAAGCCCCTCTCAAACCACCTATTTTCTTTATCCAGAATATGGACATTCTGGTCCTCAAAAGAATGTCCTTTGACTACAAGGTGTAGGTGTACTGCGGAGTCTTGTCCAGAGGTGGCCGCTCTTCTGTGTTGGGCCATGCGTCTGTGGAGAGGTTGTTTTGTTTCGCCAATATAAAGATCAGAGCATTAATCGCTGCACTGAACAGCATATACCACTCCGCTCATATTCGGTCTGGGGGGTTTTATCTTTAGGATGCACTAGCCTCTGTTTAAGGGTTTGGTTTGGCTTGAAATGTACTGGGATCTTGTGTTTGGAGAAAATCCTCTTGAGCTTTTCAGACACTCCAGCAACATAAGGGATTGTGATGTTTTTGCATTTAATTTTCCCATCGCTGTCTTCTGTTGCGTGTCTTTTGGATTTCCTTGCTGATTTGATAAAAGCCCAGTTTGGATATCCACAGTTTCGGAGAGCATCTTTGATGTGTTTCTGTTCTTGATCAGTCTGTTTTTTTTTAAAGGGCGGTGTGCCTCAGACAACATCAGGAGACTATTAGACATCATTGACTTAACTTCCCTGTCAGAACACCAGGCAGTGCTGGACCGAGTCAGACTGCCTTTTTCCTGCAATTCAGAAGGAGCTTAATGTAGTGTTTTTATTCTTCCTGCGATTCAAACGGAGTTGAACGCACTGTTTCCTTAATCCTGCTGCAGCAGAGACAGAGAAGAGCTAATCGAGCTCTGCTAACCGAAATCTAACCGCCGAACAACGGGGCCCCCAATCGCTGATTGCCGAAGGAGCCCTTGCAAGCCATGACTGCCTGAGACAGAGAGACGAAGCTGCACCAAGTAGGTGCTGCTGGAGGCTGCGGCAAAAATCCAACCACCATGGGTTAGCTACCATGAGTTATAAAATCAACCCCCTTGCAAAATTGCCTCTTATTGTTGCATCTGATTTATCCAAATCTGTTTGAGTTGCTGTTTGACGAAGGGACTGGACCGTAGGCGAGGCCTGCTGAACACTGGACCGAGCCAAAGGCCTTCCCTCCACCGAACCAAAACAGTTACTGCATCCTTACCCCTCCTTTGCATCTGATGCTTAATAAGTGCTCTGCTTGGGTGAACTAGGTAGAATAGTTAGTCATGTTGGTGTTTTACTTAAAATAACCTTTCTGATTCAACTGCTGATGGTTTTAAGAGTTTAACTGAATGCTAATGCTCACTGCATAGACTGAACGAGTCATGTGTTGCTGAAGATAACTAGTACACCGTGAGCTAACCCTCTCTTTGCTTCAGTTAGACCAGACCAGAACCCCTGGGGCCAGCTGAGCTAATCCATTTCAACCTATTCATAGATTCATATATTCCCGAGTCATCATTCATTTTTCACCATTAACTGAATGAAACTTCACTGTTCTGACTGCAGTTAATATCTGTGTGTGTGTCAGGGTTTATTTATATTGTATCTGCTGCTATTATAAAGCATACTTTCAAATGCATTAAGCCTTAAACTTCGAACATCTCGGACTTTGAACGGAAGTAGTATTTAATGTTTCGCTTAGTTATTAGATATAATACTGTGTCATTGTAGCTAATAAAGGTACCATTGTATTTTAACCTGTGGTCTTTTGCGTTCATTTTACACAGTGAATAAATTATCACTCAGACTGCATTCACTATTCTTTCAGTAGCATCCGAATTAACAGAGACTAATTTATAGGGTTCGTGATTAATAAAGTTTCTGATTGCCATAGCCTTAATTACTAAACTGGTGAAAGACAACTGGATTTTTAACAGCCGGATTCAAGAGTCTAACCCTTTTAGGAAAGGGGCTAAAACCCTGGCCAGTAAGCAAGTGACAGTAATAATCATACAACAGATAATTAATAACTACGGTAGTTTTACCCTTGATTTGAATGACCTATTAATTAACTATAACTTCCAGTTCTAGTTACTTAATATATTCATAATCTCCTGGTAAACTCTCACAACATCAATAAAACCAGCTGGAACATCCAGTGTCCAGCAGGATAAGTTGCTTTAAGTGCCCAAACGAAATACTTAATACTGTAAAATAATGATGACTTTCTACATTTTTATTGTTATTACTATATTTAACATCGCAGAGAAAAAACTGGTCTGTGTTACTCAAGGAAGCTTGGTGGGGACGACAGTTGTTTATATTTTCATTGTTGGTTTCAGGTTGTAAAACGAATGATGCACAGATTAGAAATAGAAAAAAAATTATTGGTCTAATTGATTTGCAGTTTATGTTGGATTTTATATTATGCGGTGCATAGATTTCATTGTTGGCTAAGAACGCAAGAGCAGTGCACAATGGTAAATGGTAAATATAGCGCCTTTTTTTAAGTCAGGAGACTTGACCAAAGGGCTTTACACTACATTCATTCACCCATACACTCACACACTAATGGTGGCAAGCTACATTGTAGCCACAGCTGCCCTGGGGCTCACTGACAGAAGCAGGGCTGTCGTACACTAGTGCCACCGGGCCCTCTGACCACCATCAGTAGACAATGCAGGTGAAGTGTCTTGCCCAAGGACACAACGACAATGAAAGTCGGATTCAGGGCTTGAACTGTCAACCCTTCAATTTCAGGGCAAACTCCTACATCCAACGCCACTGCCGCCCCAAATGCGCAGCTTTGAGGGAACATTGGTGCTTATACTGTTAGTTGATAGATAGACTTTATAACAAGGTCAGCCATTGTCTGGGGGCCCCCAGGCCCTAGGCAATTGTTTGGTTTCCTTCCCTTGTTGCATCGGGCCTGGCTCCTGACCATTGCTACAGGTTCTACCTGTGTCAGATGTTTTTCTGCAGATTCAAGCCTTGGCTAATCCTCTCTCCCAGCCGAAGTCTAGCCTTTTTGGTTGGCTACTCTGGTTCAAATCTGCTTCTGCATGAACTGTCAGACTCAGTCCAGCTGCCCTTTGTCTGCAACATCCTAACAGTTGTCAATAAAACCTTAAATATCCATACAGTGTCACCTTGAATTATTGGGTTCTCCATGCTAAAACATAACAATGTACTGATTTTTGACAATTTCATTTGTAGTTTTGAATACTCAGGTATTACCTCTACTTGTAGTTGAGTATGATTTTACAGAGTATCAATACTCAAGTACTATAGTTGGAAATATTAGAACATGGCCTCTTAGGGCTTCTTTAATTCCTCCTGCTATTGCTGAGCTGGCTGGCACTGCAGTGCAAATCCAACATTTTGGGATATTGTTGATTAAAGAACTGAACTCACCCTAAACACATTCTGGAGTTAAAACATTTCAGATTTACCCAGTTTCCACAGAGATAACTTAGATACAGGTCACCTTTCTGAAGATGGAGGTCCAGAAGGTTTAAACTGAAGAGGAGGATCCTTTGAGCAGTTAGTCTTGAAGGACACACAGCTAGGTTCTGGATGGATCCTGAAAGAAACACAATTAACACTCTGTAAAGATGTTTCTATCCCAAATGAACAAATACCACAGGAACTTGGCTAATGAATGGAGGCAGATATAATTGTCTTCATGTTAAATAATGGCTCAGAGTTTTATGTCCGTTTGGGTTTGATGCAGAACAACTCTGTGTAAAAACTGGTCACATAGATTCTGCTACATTAGAACATATTTTTTTGAGACCCATTAGATAGACAGTCAGTATCAGCTTAGAGGATCTTCTGGTTCTGTTGATCTGGGTCAGTGTAAAGGTTCTTCCATCAATGTCTGATCAGCCTTCCTCTTTAGGAGGAAGAAAGTTGAACAAATGTTAGTCACCAAGATCCAGAAAATGTGGTGGAAGTTGGTGAGTTTTTCTAGATGGTTCCTGCCGGAACCCAGAGCTCTGACCAACAGGCTGGTGTCACTCAGCTGGTTCTGCTGGTGGTCAAAAACCCCTGGTATCATGCTGAACTGGTTCTGTTCAGTCTGGATTAAAAGCCACAGACAAACAGCAGCAGCTTCATGACCAGGTCTGTTTGGCCCGATGTAGGCAAAACAAGGCAGGTCATTTAATTTCTATTGCACACTTCAATAAAATGACCCTTCAAAGTGCTTTACATGAATTAAACAATAAAATAGAAGCAAAAAAAAACCTATGAAGACTGTTTCAGGGATCAATTCTACTAAAGATAAATGCATGAATGTGTTTTTCTAGATCCTGCTGGACATCAGTCCTTTAACCTTCCTCTTGTGTTAGCTTTCTGCTGCCATCTGTAGTGTTAGCGGGTCATTTTGGACCCGAGTATTAAATCAGCCATAAAATACCCTAAAAACAATCTTTTATCATCCAATGTTTTTCTTAACTCTTGTTTAGCTGATTGGGCTCCCTTATCTATGAAAAGATTGGTTTTAATATTTTTTGTGGCCCCCTGGGCCTTTGTTTTAGCAGCATACCTCTCGTTTTCAATGTCTAAATAGTGGTCCAATGAACCTTAAGAGAAGAAGGCAACAAAATAATCAGTTGTTTTGTTACCTGAGTGCAACTGAGAGATATTAAAACACATTTCATAAATGTTCAACAAAAAAAAGATTTTAATTTTAATATTATCAAATATAGTAACATCTATAGTGTTTCGGGTCATTTTGGACCCGTATATATTTACTTCAAGAAAAGGGCAAAAACAAGTCTTTTTTCAATAGAACTTGAATACAATATTTATATTTGTGTATATTTACACTTTTGGTGTGTTCTTTGCAGATATATTTGTTGCAGGTGAAGCACACTGTGTAGGTTTTTCTGTCCATATTGCTAGGGCAGACCTGACACCTCTTTCTTTTTGAGCGAGGTGGTCTCACTGGCATTGTGGCTGTGGATGGGGTGCTTGAGGCAGGGCTGGCTGCAGAGGGTGAAGGTGATGCTGATACTCTTCTTGTTGCTGTGGATGTGGATGGCGTGTTTGGTGACCACTGCAGCTGTCTGACCAAGTCTGCAGTAGCTGGGTCTCGGGGCACCCATTCCCGTTGCTCAATGTGCGGCTTGACATGGGAATTCCCAAGCTCCTCAAAAAACATTCTCCGCTTAGTGTTTTGGGTTGAATTCCACCCTTGGTGAATATGGGTCCACAACACAAATGCATTGTATGCAGACACATTGAGGATGTTGTAAAACACAACCATAGGCCATCTCCTGGTCATTCGCTGGCAAGTGTAGGTGGCAGTCAGCTTGTCCAGATTGTCCACTCCTCCTGTCCTTCACCAGCCACATTTCAGCAGGCAGCTCAGGTTTATTTTTTTTTTATGGTGCCCACCATGGTGAGTTTCCTCCTGAGAAGTTCTTGTCCAAGGTCATAGCATGTAAAACAAATTGTCACAAGTGATGTGACCCTGCAGCCAGTAGTCAAATCGAGAAATACCCGTTTTCCTTGTTTTTTTTTCAAGGATGCCGCTTGCAGATTTTCCTGTGTAAATCTGTAGGTTCAAGGCATAGCTTGTTTTAGCATCACAGGCTGCCCAGATTTTTATGCCATATTTGCCTGGCTTGCTGGGCATGTATTGCCGGAACGGGCATTTTCCTCGAAAAGGGAGAAAACGTTCATCCACTGTCACCTCTGGCCCTGGGTTGAACATCAGTGGAAGGAGTTTCACCCATCTCTCCCAAACATCCCTGATGGGAGCAAGCTTGTCAGATTTTGCTCTGGTGTATCGATTGTCAAATCTGAGGACTCTTGAGATCATCTGAAAGGTCCAAAGCGACATTGTTGCCCGTTCTCAGAGGCCTGCTCATCTCCATCGCAAAAATCCTGTGTGTCCTCTGCCTCATTTGCAGCAAAGATGTGATCCAAAGCTTTATTTACAGTGAATCTTCTCCTTATTGTTGCATCCTGTGAATTGGTGATGTGTACTCTTCAAGTCACCACCTCTACACTCAAATGGCTTGACAAGCCTGGACATGTCTCCCTTTGTTTGTTCTCGCAAAGGCTAAGACAAAAGGCCCTAAATGAAGCTCAAGTGGTTGGAAGAAGAGGCTGTTGGTTGATTGTGTGTTCATGATTACATTTTAGGCATTTTTTATTGTTTTATAATCAAAAATTTTAACCGGGTCACAAATGACCCAAACACCACAAAAGTCATTTTTTTCACCAGAGCACTTTATAATTTAGTAAAAAAATAAAATTTGATTTTACTTTGTTTAAATGGAAGTCTTTGACAAAGTCAAAAAGTTTCAACGCAAAAAACAAATGTATGAAGTACCTTTAAGCATGCTAAAACTCAAAACGGGTCCGTAGGGACCCTAACACCATAGTAAGGTTAATGCTGGAGATGTTCTTCAGGTGATCAAAGGCTGATTCAGTAACTTCCTTTCTGAGCCTCTAAAGGTTCAGGTCTGAGTCCATCATTATTTCAGCCATAATCAGTGGTTTCTAGCTGCAGCAGATGAAGCTGGGAGCTAACTCTGGATCCTTTGGTCCGAAGATTATTACCTTAGCTTGGTTTTTATTCAGTTGTAGAAACTGAATAAAACTAACTGGTCTGGTTTGCTATAATCTGAGCCAAGGGGAGCATGTAGATGTTATAGGAGGGGCCCCAGAATGGGGCCTTGAGGGACCCCACATGTGATTTTCTGGTCTCTGATTTAAAGTTCCCTACTGACACATTAGTCCCATTTACACTACTCTTTTGAAACTGTGCCAAAAACGGACCGAGCATGGTAACCAAGATAACTGTTTAGTGTAAATGGCACACAACTGAACTGTCCTTAACTGGTATTGGTTCATTAGTACGGCTCAGCAGGGTTAATCTGTGGCTCTGTTCTTTGATAACAAAGAGCGCATAAGCAGACCGCTTCATCTCCCATTCACAGCCAGCTGACTCATTTTTTGGGTTTTTCTGGCATGTTAACTGATCCAAGCTTGGATCAGCCTGGATCAGTTTCAGAGGAGTAGTGGGAATCGGGTCATAGAACTCCATATCCTTCAGGTAGGATTTAAACCAGTCCAGTCCTGAACCAGAAAGGCCGACCCAGTTTTCCAGACGCTCTTATAAAATCCAGTGATCAGCAGCAACAAACGCTGCACTGAGGTCCACCAGTACCAGCACTGTGGTTCTTCCAGAGTCTTAATTTATGTAATTGAACAGCTTAGTTAGGCAGTTTCTGTACTGTGGTTGGCATGGAAACCTGATTGGAAGACATCAAAGCAGCTGGACATTGTTAAGAAGGTATTTCACTGTACATGTCACGTAAGCTGTACAAAAAAGCTTTTGTGACATGTCTAAATCTAAGTCTTCAACAATGCCTTGATAATTGCTGTTTTTAAGGCACGAGGGAAAACATCTATATGAGGGATGAGTTTCTGATTTGAATCAGATCAGACTCTAAAACAGGTAAAACCTTCTTAATAAAACCTGAGGATAAAACAGAAAGCAGGAAGAGGAGCTTAGCTTCTGAAGAGTTCCTTGTACACTTTTGCAGTTTATTTGGCAGAATTGGGAAATTCTAACGGAGTTTATTTTAAAAGGAGAAAGTATTGGTTCTGGAGGTGGACTTGATGTGCAGACTGCTTTTCTAATATCCTGTATTTTTTCAGTAAAGAGCTTTGCAAAGTAATTGCAGGCCCTTTTAGCATGGAGTTCATCGTCCACTGTGATGGGGGGTTCGCTAACCTGTTGACTATGTCTAATAAGGTATGAGCGTTGTTGATGTTTTTGTTTATAATCTCAGAGAAGAAAGATTCTCCTGCATCTTTTAGTTGTAAATTATATATGTGAAGCTTCTCTAAAGGTTTCATAGTGAACCTGAAGTCCATTCATTCTCCACCTTTGTTTGGCTTTCCTTCACTCCCTGTTTTAGCTTTTCACTGCTGGAGCATTTCTCCATGGAGATTTTATCCTCCCATAGACAGCCTTCACTTTAATTGGAGCAATGGAATCAATGATGTCTGCAACTTTAGAATGGAAACTATCAACCAGCTCATCTACTGAGTTTCTATTCAGTTTATTTCTATAGCTCCAATTCACATCATGTCATCTCAGGTCACTTTCCAGTTCACCAGATCATCCAGTCAGATTGATTCAAAGTTTTCTATCTAAGGAAAACCAGCTGATTGCATCGACTCATTGACTCTTCAGCAATCCCTCACATTAAGCATGCTTGTAGCGACAGTGGAGAGGAAAAACTCCCTTTAAACAGGAAGAAAGGTGTTGATGGCAGCAGCACAGCTGATATTTCTCTCTATCTACCTCAGTTTGCTGCCTCACCTTCCAGAGATAAACCAATTGTAGATAGAGGAGTGCTAATGATCTTATTTTTAATTATATCAATCTTATTTATAAAGAATCCTATAAAATTATTGCTGCTAAGAGCAGGTGGAATGGACGGTTCAACAGAGCTATGGCTCTGGGTGATTTTGGCAACTGGATTAAAAAGATATCTAGGATTATTCTTATTCTCCTCTATTAATGAGGAGAAATATAGTTTCAGGGTAAAGTGGAAGCAGTAGGATAAGCCTGCACACTAACTCTCTAACACACTTCCTTATAATATTTCTTTTGGTTCTTAAATCAGTTAAAAAATGGTTTCAAAGTTAACAGAAAATGTTCTCATAGGGAAACATTAGAAATATTTACACCTTTGCTGATGACCAGGTCCAGAATATGTCCTCCATGGTGTGTTGACTGTTTAACTTGTTGAGTCAAACCTTTTAAGTGTATCATACAGTTCTTTTGCTTCTCTGTCTTCAGGGTTTTCAACATGAACATAGTGAACACTGTGTGAAAAGGCCTGAGGACAGTTAGAGATGATCTCACCTCTGAGCTTCATCTTCCTCACTCCGAGTGATTTTAGAGGGAGGGGCTCCCTCCTCTCTGTCCTCACACTGATCCATGCTGTTGAATTCACATCCGCTCACACTCACCTTCTACCTGCAGAAGAAACACAGATTATTCATCTGAACATCAGCTCTGATAAATCATTAGTGCTGGAAAAAGATCAGCTGCTGCTCTGATTGGCTCTTCTTCTCTGCTTCACATCAGCATCAGTTAATTGTAGATAGACAGCGGTGAGGAAGAGGAAGCTGTCTTCAGCTGCTGTTCTTCTATCAGGGCACTATATCAGTGGTGGACTGATAAAACTGGCTTAGTTCATATAGGTTTGGGTTGCCAAATCTGGCTTATATTGTTTTCATTTGGGTTTAATACAGCTGGCTCCCTCTGAGTCAGACTTGTTACTATGGCAATTTGATGTAGAGACTTTAACCTGGTCAGGGCCAGGGTCCTATTTCATGATACCTACATAAGGGATTAAGTCTGGAGTTCTGGGCCAAATTAAGTCGCAACTCATTTTCACAAAAGCAGTCAAATGATTTAGCACATCACAGACACCCTCACCTGGACTGGAAACACCACCTCACTGGTCCAAAGGGCCCAGAAGCGCTTGGACTTCCTGCGGAGGATGAGGAGAGCCCACCTGCCCCCCTTCTACAGAAGCACCATAGAGAGCGTTCTGAGCAGCTGTCTCACTGTGTGGTGTGGAGGCTGCAGCGCCTCAGACTGGAAGAAGGTGAGAACAACAGAGAGGATCATGGGGGCTCCTCTTCCCTCCATTATTATCTTTTTAATAATCCCTTTAAATAGAACTCAACTCAGTGTTTCTACTGCATTTTTGCACCATATCTATTTATTTATTTTTGCACTGCTATGAACCATCCACATCAAGGCCTTTTGCACCATGCCTCTCTGACACTGTTTACATTCTGATCTCTGCTGCACTTTATAAATGGAAATGTTTATTTCACTGTTGAAAAGCTGCATGCATCAAAATTTTATTTTGTATACACCCTGTGTATGCAAAAGGACAATAAAGTTTGTCTAAGTCTAAGTCAAGGCTATAAAATGTCAAGGGAGAGGAGGAGTTTATCCTATTAGGGAAAGTTCGGGATGAAAATAATTATTCTCATAACATTTAGATTGTTTCTCTGGGATTATTTCCTGATATTTTATGTTTTCTTAACTTACTGTAATTGCTTGGATTAACTGTGATTTTAAATCCTTTGTAGCCTTTCTGCAGACTAAGGAATTTAGTCTGACCAGAATGTGTATAAGAAAGATATTAAAGTTCTTTCTGTCTGAAAGCCTATTACTGAGTGCTAGGATTTCCAAGGAACACTTAAACAACAGCGCCTGGACAGTGAATGCGGGGTGCAGCTCAGTCAAGAATATGCCTGGATACTCAGAGCTGATAAAAACATTAATGGAAAGAGTCTGTTTCCAATTTTGTGTGTGTTTTATGAACACTAAGTAAGTTTGATGCTGCTCTGGCATATTTATATCTACTTTTCAATTCAGTTTATTTCTATAGCTCCAATTCACAACACGTCATCTCAGGTCAGTTTATAGATCCAGATCATCCAGTCAGATTGATTCAAAGTTTTCTATCTAAGGAAAACCAGCTGATTGCATCGACTCATTGACTCTTCAGCAATCCCTCACACTAAGCATAGATGCAAAAGGCAACTGTCAACCAGCTCCACAGGCGGCCCTAGCCTAGCCTTAAAAGTAGACAGGGTGTCTGCCTCACGGACTAAAACTGGTAGTTGGTTCCACAGGAGAGGAGCCTGAGAACTAAAAGATCTGCCTCCCATTCTACTTTTAGAAATTCTAGGAACCACTAGTAAACCTGCAGATTGAGAGCGAAGTGCTCTGTTAGGAACATAAGGAACAATCAGATCTCTGATATCAGATGGAGCTTGGCCATTTAAGGCTTTATATGTGAGAAGGAGGATTTTAAATTCTATTCTGGATTTAACAGGAAGCCAATGAAGAGAAGCCAGGATAGGAGAGATATGATCTCTCTTTTTAATTTTCATTAGAACTCTGGCTGCAGCATTTTGGATCAGCTGAAGGCTTTTAACTACAGTTTGTGGACTTCCTGATAGTAAAGAATTACAATAGTCCAGCCTTGAAGTAACAAATGCATGGACTAGTTTCTCAGCATCACCCCTGGACAGGATATTTCTCATTTTTGCAATATTCCTCAGATGAAAGAAGGAAATTCTAGAAACCTCTTTGATATGGGATTTAAATGACAGGTCCTGATCAAAAACAACACCAAGATTTTTTACTTTATTATCTGAAATCAGTTTAATCCCATCCAAATGAAGTGACTGGCTAATCAGCTTCTTTTTCAAAGACTCTTGTCCAAAGACTATAACTTCTGTTTTATCTGCATTCAGAAGCAGAAAGTTAAGAGTCATCCAGGTTTTTATGTCTTCAGACATGCCTGTAATCTATGTAATGGGTTAGCTTCATCTGGATTATAGACAGATATAGCTGGGTATCATCAGCATAACAGTGGAAATTAATCCCATGCTGTCTAATAATTCTACCAATTGGGAGCATGTATAAAGTAAAGAGAATTGGTCCTAGCACTGATCCCTGTGGTACTCCACAGGTAACCTTTGAGCATGAGGAAGATCTATCATTAACATGAACAAACTTAAATCTATCAGATAGATCAGATTTAAACCAGTCTAGAGCTGTTCCTTTAATTCCAACAAAATATTCAAGTCTTTCTAAAAGAATATTCTGATCAACTGGATCAAATGCAGCACTGAGATCCAACAGGACGAGCACAGATACAAGTCCATTATCTGAGGCCATGAGAATATCATTAGTGACTTTCACCAGAGCTGTTTCAGTGCTATGATGAGCTCTAAAGCCAGACTGAAACTTCAAAAAGTTCATTATGGTGGAAGTGATCGCACACTTGTTTGGCAACTACTTTCTCAAGAATTTTGGATAAGAAATGAAGATTGGATATAGGTCTATAATTGACCAAGTCATCTGGGTCAAGAGACGGTTTCTTAAGCAGAGGTTTAATTCCAGCAATCTTAAAAGCTTTAGGTACATATCCCTGTAACAGAGATAGATTAATCACATCTAAAATGGAGGAGGAGATCAAAGGGAATACCTCCTTAAATAACCTGGTTGGAACTGGATCTAACATCCAAGTTGAAGGCTTAGATGAAGACAATAGTTTTGCTAACTTTGAAAGTTCAACTGGATCAAATCATATCGGCCCCAACGCTCACTCTCCGGCCGAAGCTCCTACCTGTGACAGTATATAACTGAGGGATCCCAAGAAGTTATCCATTGTTTACTACCTAAATGATGCATGCAGTATATATAGCCCCTCCTTGTCATGCACATCCTTGTGACGGTTGGCATATGGTGTCATTTTCTATTTCTTCAAACTGTAACATCCTTGCTACAAACTAAATAATAAATAATGGATGAATAATAAAACTAAAATGCTTTCTTTAAACCAAACTATGATGTTCCTCTTATATTTGGCGAAATTATGTTAGAATATTTTTGCAGAAATATGTTGCGGTCCATGATGGGGTTTTGCATCTAAAGGCTAACGTTTCCCGTCTTAACGTGCATTGTTGCCAGGTTGGAATGTTTCCCAATCTGGCTGTTTAGGATGGCCGTCTATGGGTAAAAAAAATTTCTTCTTTAGATTTATGGCCTAAGAGATCAATAGACGTTGGTTCAAATTGGGCGAGATTTCGTATATCCAGGCGGTTTATGAGCATTTTTTGGGCTGGTAAACATGAGTCTGTGACACCCTGCTGATGTGGTGAGTGTGGACGTTACGCAGCAGCAGTCACTATGGCGTCCGTCTTATAACCAAAGCCAGTAAAACCGCATTATAGAAGTCTGGGTGATGGTTGTCGTGTGATGCTTGAAAATAAATCGGTTAATACACAAATGCCAGGGCCGGAAATCGTTCTCAGTCCGAGCCTGCGCAGCGCCATACAGGTGGAAGTGCGAGTACTGGTACAGAGCCAGTCAGTAGTGTGAGACAGAGGAGCCTGTCCACTAGATGGCGCCATGGAGCAACATTTCCACCCACTGCCCCTGATTCAATCTGACTGGTTGTCACTATTTTATTTCACAATCATCAAATTCAACTGGTAGATTATCTGCTTCATTAATGACAAACAAATGAAAAATCTGAAACATTTAAATACATTTAACATTAATTCCATTTCTAGAAAACATTCTAGCAGGAAACAAAGTAAAATGGATGAAAAGCGAATCTGAACCACAGTCATAGGCAAACAGACCTGAATTGTGTGTTCTACATAAACAGGTGATATGAGGAATGTTGCGTAACTGATGATATCACAGCTCACCACCTCTGAAGTTTCTTCTCTCAGAACCAAAATCCAGTCAGTGAAACTTCTGCAGCGACAATAGAGGCAGTTTGATGAAGACTTTGTGAGGAAGGAGAGAAGTCCTGAAGAAAATGTTTTATGACGACGTCATGAGGACAGATAATCCCAGATAACAGGGCTGCTGGTTGTTTCTTGCTGCACTAACTGGTCTGACTGGTCAGACTGAGAAAAGTTCACCTTCTCATGGCTCCCAGTCTGAATACAAAAACCCTGCTGCATTTTAAATGGCTTCATTGAGGTCCTGCTGATCCACGTTCCAGGATCTGCTTTAAGGGGGAAGTGGTTAGGACATAGAGCTGGGAACCATGAGGTTAGGAGTTCAAGAACCCATCCTACAGACTGCCACTCTGGGTCCCTGAGCAAAACCCTTAACCCCACAGTGCTCCCCGGGTTCTGCACAATGGCAGCCCACTGCTCCCCAAGGGGAGGGGTTAAATGCAGAGGTAAATTTCTCCATTGTGGGAAAACCTAAAATTATTATTATTAAGAGGGAACAACTGGACTATTCATTAGCAGGGATTGTTCTCCCTCTGGTGGTGACACTGCAAACTGCATGATTTCTAAATATTAAGCACATATTCATTTATAATTATAAAAGAAGATCATCTGGTTATTCACGAGTCTTAGCATAAGGAGCACAGTAACGTGTTAATTCCTCAAACTAATGACACAAATTGCCTTAAGCTGTAGGCGAAAGTCGGAATCATGCAGGAATTGCAGGCGGGAGCGGGACTGGAAAATCTCAGGCCTGTAATTCACAGCATTCAATGCAGGTGCAGCAGCTTCTTCCCCACAGACATCACACTGATTTTATATTTATAAAAAAAGTTTAGAACTGTAAATACATGGTTATTTGCTTATATTGCATTTTTTTCTTTTTTATATGTTTTTATTACTTTTTTTTCACGGCTGCACTTTAAAAAATGAAATTGTTTAGAGCTGTTTTAAATTAAATTTACTCGTGTATACAAAATGACTAAATAAATCTAAATCTAAGAATGGAATCTGAAAGGAATATTGGGAAATGAAGGATATATAAAGGATATTCACAGAATAAGAAAAGCATTATTTATTTATCGACAGAGTAAAAAATAAAAAAAATATAATTTGATGTAAAGCTGTTGGCCATCCGCCATAAAAGAAAAGAAGAAAAAGAAAGACGCTAACTTTATTGGTCTCTGATTGGTCAATATCCCGGAAATGGGAGGAGTTTGTTGGGAAACAGGAAGTTGTGCTAATATGGATGTAAAGAGAAAACGAGGTGGAGTTTGTTGATAAAAATGATGTTTGGTTCTTTCAGCTGTTTAGTTTTTATCCAGTCATCAACTCTACATCTTTATCTTCATCTACTGGATGTTTCTACCCGGATTTATGAGCAGAGCAGCGGTGAGTTTATGAGTAAAGCTTCTAGCAGCTCAGTGATGGAGCTAACCGCTAATAGGAAGGTCTGACTGATGTTCCTGAAGTTAGCAGCTAAATTAGCCTCTATTGAGAGAAATAATTCTGACCATGAAATAAAGTAAAGATCTTATTTATTTTATTCATTGATAAACAATTAAGCTTTACTATTACCATATTTCATGAAAAGCTAATAACTGTTCCATTACATATTTAAATTTCCCTTTTCAATATGATATTAAATAAAAAAGGTTTATTTTTAAAAGACAAATAAATGTACATATATTTTTCATATTTTCACAATTTACTTATTGATTTCATGGTTTCTGTGCGGCTGTTTTATCATTTTATTTTAACTGTCAGCTCCAAACTGTGGAAAAAAATGCCGTTTCCATGGAGACAGGTGTCTGATTGATTGATTGACTTGATTAACCGTGGAGAATTCCCTCCTTCCATCAGCTCAGATAGTCAAAGAAGAAGAAGAAGGAGGAGCTAAAAGGAGCAATAGGTGCATGATGGGATATATACAGTGCCTCTTGCTGTGTTTATTATTATTATTATTATTCTAAAGCCCTGAACACATCCTGCCGTTTCCTTGCCTTCCTGATGAGGTGAAGTTGGAGCGTGCTGTGGTGTATTGTGGTTGGAGCTGCTGACTGACGCCGCTTCACATCTTCCAACGTTTTACAGACCAAACTATGGATGGGAAGCACCTTGATTGAAGGTGGGAAGTAGCGGGGCGGTGACGGAGGATGTGGGATTTCGGGGTAAGGGCTGAAGGCTCCACTGGTCCCACCCACTACAGGGTTTGGGAGGGCCCTTAGTGTGGCGGAGCTGCAAACAGAGGGTTGGGGCTTAGGGGCCGGTTTGGGGCCTGGAACTGGAACAGAAAAGTCCCCGCTTGCCTTTTACCTACTGACCTTCGTGGACGTCTGCAGCAGACTGGGCTTCCTTAACGAGCTGTAAATAAATTGCAAAATGGTTTTGATCTTATTTCTAACGTCTGCTGTGAAAAATCTGAAAATTAAATGAATATTCTAAAAATTCTGTATTGAAGTTTTCTTAGTCCCGCCCCCAAGAGAAGAAGAAGCTGCACAGACGGAAATTATTAAAAACAGAGTGAAATAATGAAATGAATAATTTTTCATAACATTTAATGATTTAGTAGCAGATTTATCTTTTGCCACTGATTTCATTTTGTTTCCTTTAACTGTCGGTTTTCTTGTTTTCCAGGTTCAGACGATTCCAGGCCTCAGAGCGACGTGTCGCTTCCTCCCTCCTCAGGCCTGCTTTATCTGGTTTGAACCAGTTCTAACGGACGACAGGCTGAGGTGCGTGTTGGATTTCGGTTCCACATAGCTTGGTTTGAATAGAAAAACTCAAGTAGGAGGCGTGACGATTGATTTTACCAAAGATTCCATTCATAACATGATTCATGGTTTCTGAATGGAGGATTTTCTGTAAGTCAGTCAACTGAAATTCCTGTCACTTCCCGATCCTTCGCAGAAGGACGATCCGTCCCTGACGCGCGATCCTTCGCAGAAGGACGATCCGTCCCTGACGCGCGATCCTTCGCAGAAGGACGATCCGTCCCTGACGCGCGATCCGTCCCTGACGCGCGATCCTTCGCCGTCCCTGACGCGCGATCCGTCCCCGTCCCTGACGCGCGATCCGTCCCCGTCCCTGACGCGCGATCCGTCCCCGTCCCTGACGCGCGATCCGTCGCAGAAGCGCGATCCGTCCCTGACGCGCGATTCTTCCTGTATATGTGCAAATAAAATAACTTCCGATTAGGCAATAATTTGTGTAAATATCGCTTATTCTAAAAACGAAAAAAAAAGAAGTAAAACACTTAGATCTCCTTTGGAACGTTGCTGTGACTGAAATAGAAATTATGATTAAAACAGAAAATCAGTCGGTTGGCTCCCTGTAACCCGGGAAACGTTTTCAGTCAGTTTATCTGGAAATCAGTTGAAGGATCTTTGGACTCGGTGACGATGCAGTGAGACGCCGACATGGTCTGAGCTCAGACCTCATGCTGCGTTCACACCGGGCGCCATCTGGGCGTCAGAACATCTGGTTTACCCGCAAAGTCTATGGGGGACGGCGTGGAGAGGTCCAGCAGTGTCAGGAGCGGAACATGTAAAGAAATAAAATTAGTCTAAGCATTCTGGCGTCAAAGCGTCCGACGCTGGAGTTCAGTAAATTGAACTTTAGCTGCTGGAGCGTCAACCAATCAGAGAAGCTGATCCAGGAGTTTTAATGGGGAGACAGACTCTACCTGCAAGCTGCCATCGCTCTGCAGAGGAAAAATAAATAAATATCAATGAATGTTTAAAACATTAATAAAGCAGGTAGAATGGAAAACATTTTTAAAACAGTTTATAAATCCCCACATTAACTAGAAATAATAAAACCTGCTGATGAAAAATATTGAGTTATATATTCTGGTTCTTGCAGTTTGAGAGAAGGTCTCACCTGGTCCAACCTGTAATGCTGCGTCGCCTGCTTTTGATTTCAGTTCCCTTCATTGCTGATCCAATCATGAGCTTTGACAGCGCCGTCAGCAGCCTGGTGGAGACGGTCGACGCAAAAAGCATCACTGCTGTCAACCCTGGTGAGAAAACACAGAAACATTGACAGAGGATCTGACGGCGCCCCCTGCTGCTCTATTAAAGCAAACCATAATCTACAACATCACTGCTTTCATTGGTGTTTGTCTTCAGACACAGGAGAGTCCTGCTTGTTCAGCTCTGCTGGAGATGTTTCTGAGTCTGGAGCTCTGGACCAAGAGGAGAAACCTCCGGATCTACCTGGTAGGTTCAGTGAAGGACCACAATCCTTCATTCTCTGTCAGTTATCATGATGTGGAGCCTGTTGGGGGCTTTATTCCTTCAGTTTCTACCTGTTTAAGTGACCCCATTGGAAAACCACTAAGAAACAGAGGACAGAGCTATGAGATCCAGATTTCTTCAGCTGTGGAGTCGTTTGTTCTGATTTATTCTAGATGACGTCATACACACTCTGCGTTGTTTTTTAAAACAAAACTCCGCCCCTCTCTTCACTCGAGTGTCCAAGAAATGCGGCAGCAGTTCAGATGAAACAACAACAAAGTCGATCATTGAACTACGGCCCAGGGTGTCTTGGTGCCAAGAGCACATATGGACACCCTTATGCCTGAACATGGTGTTTGTTATGACAACAGAACACCACTCGAGTTCAGGTCAGGTGGGCCATTCCTTCCAACCACACCTCGCCAGGTCTCACTGTCATTGCCCATGTGAGCGTTGAAGTTCCCCAGAAGAGTCCCCAGTAGGGGCACTCTGCAGTACCCCTCTAAAGACTCCAAAAAGGGTGGGTAAAATGGACTGCTGTTTGGAGCATAAGCACAAACAACAGTCAGAACCCGTCCCCCCACACGTATGCGGAGGGAGGCAACTCTCTCGGTGAATCCCAACGTCCAGGCACCAAGATGAGGGGCAACAAGAATGCCCACTCCTGCTCGGCGCCTCTCACCAGGGGCAACCCCAGAGTGGAAGAATGTCCAGCCCCTCTCAAGGAGACTGGTTCCAGAGCCAGAGCCACGCGTCGAGGTAAGTCCAACTATCTCTAGTCGGAACCTTTCAACCTCGCGCACTAACTCAGGCTCCTTCACCACCAGAGAGGTGACATTCCATGTCCCAAGAGCAAGCTTCTTCAGCCGAGGATCAGAACGCCAAGATCCCCGCCCTCGACTGCCACCCATCACACACTTGCACCCGACCCCTTTGGCTCCTCCTACAGGTGGCGAGCCTGAGGAGACAAACAGGTGCTGGATGGCAAGATTTTGATAAAGTTTAGACAAAAAAAGATATAATCGAAATTCATTATCAGAATCAGATTTATTGCCAAGTAGGTTTGACCTTACAAGGAGATATATATATATTTACTATATAGAACATATGGTATATAGCCACATACTATATACACAGTAGTCAGTGCATTAATGTAATGCAGGAGATCTGGAGATGCTACGTTGGTGTAGCTTCTAGGTCATGAACGGGGGAGGGAGGCAGGGTCAGGGTCAGGGTGATGGGGGTCTCTGGGCTTTGTTGATCAGGCTGGTAGCGGATGGGAAGAATCTGAGGTTCTGGTCCTGATGGAGCGCAGCCTCCTGCCAGAGGAAAGTGACTGACATAGTTTGTGGCTGGGGTGCGAGGGATCAGCCACAATCTTCACTGCACGCCTCAGAGTCCTGGAGGTGTACACAATCACATTCTCTTTATTACAAGTAAAGCGGAAAAATCAGCGTAAAATAAAACATAAAACTTAAATGTCTTTGATTTAAAATGGACTCAGTCCACGGTGAGGTCTAAACACTTATTAATATTAATGTTTTTAATGTTTCCTGCAGATCTTAAGCAGACGGTTAAAGAAGAAGTTCCTGAAGACCACAAACCTTCTCCTGACCTGCATGACCCAGAGCCCCACCACATAAAGGAGGAACAGGAGGAAGTCTGCACCAGTCTGGGGGGAGAGCAGCTCGGTCTCAAGGAGGAGATTGATGCCATCAAGTTTCCAATCACTGCTGCTCCAATAAAGAGTGAGGATGATAAACATTCCTCTGTGCTCCCACAGCTTTACCACCACCACATTAAAGGCAGAGAGCTTCCAGTAGAGAACCATGGAGGAGAAGAATCCATGAGGATACAAGATCATGAAGATGGGTCCATTTCCTCAGAGACAGAAGAGGACAGTGATGTGGAGCTCTCCGTCTCTGAGCTAAAACAGTTAGCAGCTCCTGATGGAAACATGGCTGACAAACCTTCTGGTTCCTCTGAGTTTGCTGAGCAATTTGTTCAGCGTCCTCAGAAAGACACGAGGCATTCAAGCTCCCTGGGTAATAAGAAATGTTTTACAAAGAAGAAACATGTAGACTCACAGAGGAATGTCCACAAAAGGACAACATTTAGCTGTGAAGACTGTGGTAAAATATTTACTGGAAAAAACAAGTTAAATTTACATCAGAGAATTCATGCAGGAGAGAAACCTTTTGGTTGTGACGTTTGTGGACAGACATTTATCCATAGAGGACATTTAAACACACACTTTAGGATCCACACAGGAGACAAACCTTTTGCTTGTAAAGAGTGTGGACGCAGATTCAGCCATAAGTCAAATTTAAACGCACACATTAGAATCCACACAGCAGAGAAACCTTTCTGCTGTGACAAGTGTGGGATGAAATTTAGCCGGGTAGAGCGTTTAAACAAACATATGAGTATTCACGCAGGGCAGAAACCCTTCTGTTGTGACAGATGTGGACGGAGATTTAGCCGGCTACTAAACTTAAATAAACATGTAATGATCCACACAGGGCAGAGACCTTTCTGCTGTGATGTTTGTGGACAAAGATTCAGCGACAAATCAAGTTTAATCACACACATCAGGACCCACACCGGGCAGAAACCTTTTTGCTGTGACGTTTGTGGACACAGATTTTGTCGAAAAGGAGATCTAAATACACACATGAGGATCCATACGGGACAGAAACCGTACTGTTGTCACCTCTGTGGACACACGTTTAGCAGGAAAGGAAATTTAACCACTCACATGAGGATTCATACGGGACAGAATCCATTCTGTTGTGACATTTGTGGACACAGATTTAGCCAGAAAGGCCATTTAAACTCACACATGACGATCCACACAGGACAGAGGCCCTTCGGATGTGACCTTTGTGGACAGACATTTAGCCTTAAAGGAAGTTTAAACACACATATGAGGTTCCACACCGGAGACAAACCCTTCTGTTGTGACCTATGTGGGCAAAGATTTAGCATGAAAGGAAATTTAAACAGACATAAGAGGATCCACACAGGAAACAAACCTTTCTGTTGTGACCTATGTGGGCAGAGATTTAGCCAGAAAGGAGATTTAAACCGACACACGATGAGCCACACAGGAGAGAAACTTTTCTGCTGTGATTTTTGTGGGCAGAGATTTAGCAGAAAAGGACATTTAAACAGACACATGAATATCCACACGGGGGGGGAGATGACTCAGGCATAAATACTCGAATTAGAAGGCCTCATTTGTCATTTAAGGCAATCGTGTTCATTGGATGTTTTCAGCCGTAAACATCAAACTCTGTAATGTGAAAAATCCTTATTTACAATTATTTATTTCATTTAGATGGAATCTATTTTGGAATTGATCAAATTCCTTTTTTTAATACCTTTCATTATTTTGATAATTCTTGCATTGTTATCTTGTCTAGAAATGGTTCATTGAACAAGATTTATGAAATCCAGAACAATTCTGTGGATTTAATCTCATCTTAGTTCCAACTTGACTTCCTGGATTCCAGCCAGAGAAGAGACATGCTTCTATGTTCAGTTTACATTTTCAGAATAAATGTGTAATACATTTTTTGACATGAGATGTCGAAAGGGTTGATCTTTTCGGCTTTTCTTCATGACTAGAAGTATATTCCTCACTACAGCTCAGGTACTGAACTGCTGCTTTTCATCCATTTTATTTGCCCAGAGAGTTTACCAGAGTTCTGTTGGTAAATGTTTCACCCTCTGCTGTTGCCAACACTACTTGTGATGTCATTAATTTGGTTGTGAAATACAGACACAAAAGCCAAATGCTTTTCTGGCAATAACTGGTGATTTTAATCATGCTTCACTCTGACAGTTAGACAACTTTTATTGTCATTTTTACACAAATTGTATACAAAATGAAATTTAGTTTCTACAGCTTTCATGACGTTTCCATTCATAAAGTCGAACAGTGATCGAGTTTTGGAGAAAAAACATGGTGTAAAAAAAAACCGCACTGATGTGGAAGTTCAAAGCATTAATATCTATGGTGCAAATCTGCAGTATTGTTGGTTTGGTGTTATCAGTGTGATGGCGGTGGGGAAGAAGCTGCTGCAGAACCTGCTGGTCCTGCATTGAATGCTGTGAAGCCTCTTCCCAGAGGGCAGCAGGGAGAACAGTCAATGGAGAATGCAGTCCATGCAGAAACGGAGTCTGCACGGAGGGGCGTGGAAGCCCAAATCGATGTAATTTGGCCGCGCAAACATTGCAGACCTTTCAAGAATAAATCAAGCTTCAATCAGTCCAGCAGAGAAAGGCAGGAGAAAAGGGAGCTGACTGAAGTTCAGGAAGTAGTGGAGGTGGACATATTGAATGGCTAGGCCTGTAATGGGAGGGGCTGAAGCCTCCATAAAACATTCTTAAGCTCCACCCCCACAATGTTTTCTTCTTATATATTTTTATACAATAACTGTCAACAGATTAGATGTTAATAATGGTTTTATTTTGCTTTCTTGATGGAGCTGCTTATTATAGATAGGCTCTGTGTGTAAGCACCCTGATGCTCTATCTCTCACTCAGGATAAACTCTTTAAATAACCTGTTAACAAAGTGAGGAAAAGGTCATGCAGGTAATGCACCTGATTTTTATCACTACCATCACGAGTGGTTTAGAATACGTTTTATTACAAAAACAGGCTTTAGTACATATTTTGTTTTATTTTGAAGGGTTCCTGTTGAGAAAAGGAAGTGATCGAGAGGGTACGAACTTTACTAGTCAGTGATTGGCCAAGAACCAGGAAATGGGCGGAGTTTGTAAGGAAACGGGAGGTGGATGGCCTCTGTAGTTTTCATCATCTCTACATGTTTGAAACTACAGCCTGAAATCTGCAGCATATTAGCGGTGAGTTCATCTTTTAATGCCGCTAAAGCGTTAGCATCTAGCAGCAAAGCTAATGGACAGTTAGCACTGGAAGCTAACTGAGCTAACAGAGAGCCATATGAGCCTTACTGACTGATTATATGTGCCTGGACTGCATTTACCTGACTGCTGCTTACCAGCTGTTTACCCGCTGTTTGCCGACTGTTTACTGGCGATTTACCTGGTGCTTACCAGCTGTTTACTGGCTGATTACCAGCTGTTTACTGGCTGATTACCAGCTGTTTACCTGCCGATTACCAGCTGTTTACTGGCTGATTACCTGCTGCTTACCAGCTGTTTACTGGTTGATTACCAGCTGTTTACCTGCTGCTTACCAGCTGTTTACTGGTTGATTACCAGCTGTTTACCTGCTGCTTACCAGCTGTTTACTGGTTGATTACCAGCTGTTTACCTGCTGATTACCAGCTGTTTACTGACTGTTTACCGGCTGTTTACCTGCTGATTACCAGCTGTTTACTGACTGTTTACCGGCTGTTTACCTGCTGCTTACCAGCTGTTTACTGGCTGCTTACCAGCTGTTTACCTGCTGATTACCAGCTGTTTACTGACAGTTTACCGGCTGTTTACCTGCTGCTTACCAGCTGTTTACCTGCCGATTACCAGCTGTTTACTGGCTGTTTACCTGTTGATTACCAGCTGTTTACCGGCTGTTTGCCAGCTGTTTACCTGCTGTTTACTGGCTGTTTGCCAGCTGTTTACCTGCCGATAACCAGCTGTTTACTGGCTGTTTACCTGTTGATTACCAGCTGTTTACCTGCCGATAACCAGCTGTTTACTGGCTGTTTACCTGTTGATTACCAGCTGTTTACCGACTGTTTCCCAGCTGTTTACCTGCTGTTTACTGGCTGTTTGCCGGCTGTTTACCTGCCGATTACCTGCTGTTTACTGGCTGTTTACCTGCTGATTACCAGCTGTTTACCTGCTGATTACCAGCTGTTTACCTGCTGTTTACCGGCTGTTTTCCGGCTGTTTACCGGCTGTAGCTTCATCTGGTCTGTTCCTGTTTGGCTGTGACTCCATCCTGGAGAGAAATATCAGCTGTGCTGCTGCCATCAACACCTTTGTTTCTAGATGAAGAGTCAATGAGTCGATGCAATCAGCTGGTTTTCCTTTGATAGAAAACTTTGAATCAATCTGAGGCCCCATCCACACGAAGTCAAAACGAACACGAAACGCTGATATTTTCCAAAACGTTTGCCGTAAAGACGGAGACGTAAAATAAATGTGAGCGTCCACACGAATGCATGAAAACGCTGCAAAATGTATGCCAGGCCTGTAAGTGGCGCTGTGGTGCCAAAGCAAAAATAAGCGACGAAATGTTGGGCATGTGCACTAATATTTATACATGGTTGCCCTGCGGGTCCATTTTCGTGGTTAAGTGAAATTCAGGTGCTGAACTATGTCGTCGATATTGCTCTGTTCTTCCTGGAGATATTCCAGAAGAAGAAGATTCTGTTGTAAGCCCGACAGCAGGGTGAGTAGCATTAGCAACGGCGCCATTGTTGTTGTGATACTGGTCGCGCATGCGTGTGTAGAGGCGACGCTATGACGCATGCGTGTAAAAAAAAATATGCGGTTAGGGCGTAAAGATGGAAACGCGAAAACGGCGTTTCAGAATCTTCCCACTCTGAAGGCTGAATAAAAAAATGATCGTTTACAGACCCCCGAAACGCCGGCTTCGTGTGGATGAGAGGCTGGTTTGGTGAAAAATTTGTGCGTTTAGGCCAGGGTTCGTCTTCGTGTGGACGGGGCCTGACTGGATGATCTAGTTGAACTGGATCTATAAAGTGACCTGAGATGACATGATGTGAATTGGAGCTATAGAAATAAACTGAATAGAATCTGAGTAGGCAAGTTTATCTCTAAATCAGAATCGAATACAGAGATGATTCAAAGTGATTTACATGAATTTAAGTATAAAATATAATAAAAATAAAAGCAAGTTGATAAAAAAAGGTAGTAAATAAAACCTTGAGCCAATGATGATGGTAGCTTTTCTAGTAGAAACACAAAGCAAAAAGTAAAAATACTATTTTCATGTTATAGTACCATAAACCATGATCTGTACTGATTGAATTATATTGAGAATAATGCTAATTAAAGCTGATATTCTGTTATTTTTAAATTATTACAATCTAGATCAGTTTTTAACATCCTACTGCCTGTTCCACTGATTACTGTGATGATGTAGAAACAGCAGCCTGAACGGCTCCCAGAGCTCTGCTTTGGTCTGAGGTGGAACATGGAGGCCAGCTGGTTCCCAGAGTTCCAGCTGGGTCAGCGGCTGCTCCTCCTCCCCACCAACCCACGGGGACCTCACCTCTCACCATGCTTTGATTTCAGTTCCCTTCATTGCTGATCCAATCATGAGCTTTGACAGCGCCGTCAGCAGCCTGGTGGAGACGGTCGACGCAAAAAGCATCACTGCTGTCAACCCTGGTGAGAAAACACAGAAACATTGACAGAGGATCTGACGGCGCCCCCTGCTGCTCTATTAAAGCAACCGCAATCTACAACATCACTTTCATTGGTGTTTGTCTTCAGACACAGGAGAGTCCAGCTTGTTCAGCTCTGCTGGAGATGTTTCTGAGTCTGGAGCTCTGGACCAAGAGGAGAAACCTCCGGATCTACCTGGTAGGTTCAGTGAAGGACCACAATCCTTCATTCTCTGTCAGTTATCATGATGTGGAGCCTGTTGGGGGCTTTATTCCTTCAGTTTATAAATGTTTAATTCTTTTATTTATTTCTTTAGCTCATATTCATTTCATGTCACTTTATAGATCCAATTTAACCAGATCATCCAGTCAGATTAATTCAAGGTTTCCTTTGTAAAAACCAAATGAAAGTCATAATAAAAATAATTTGATCTGAAGTCATGAAATGATTCAGAGTTGGTGGGTTCAGAGCCAAACATCCAGATGTTAACGGGCGAATTCCGAGCCAAACATCCAGATGTCAACGGATGAATTCAGAGCCGAACATCCAGATGTCAACGGATGAATTCAGAGCCGAACATCCAGATGTCAACGGATGAATTCAGAGCCAAACATCCAGATGTTAACGTATGAATTCAGAACCGAACATCCAGATGTCAACGTATGAATTCAGAGCCGAACATCCAGATGTCAACGGATGAATTCAGAGCCAAACATCCAGATGTTAACGGATGAATTCAGAGCCGAACATCCAGATGTCAACGGATGAATTCAGAGCCAAACATCCAGATGTCAACGGATGAATTCAGAGCCGAACATCCAGATGTCAATGGATAAATTCAGAGCCAAACATCCAGATGTTAACGGATGAATTCAGAGCCAAACATCCAGATGTTAACGGATGAATTCAGAGCCGAACATCCAGATGTCAACGGATGAATTCAGAGCCAAACATCCAGATGTTAACGGATGAATTCAGAACCGAACATCCAGATGTCAACGTATGAATTCAGAGCCGAACATCCAGATGTCAACGGATGAATTCAGAGCCAAACATCCAGATGTTAACGGATGAATTCAGAGCCAAACATCCAGATGTCAACGGATGAATTCAGAGCCAAACATCCAGATGTCAACGGATGAATTCAGAGCCGAACATCCAGATGTCAACGGATGAATTCAGAGCCAAACATCCAGATGTTAACGGATGAATTCAGAGCCAAAAATCCAGATGTTAAGGGATGAATTCAGAACCAAACATCCAGATGTTAACGGAGGAATTCCGAGCCGAACATCCAGATGTTAACGGATGAATTCCGAGCCAAACATCCAGATGTTAAGGGATGAATTCCGAGCCGAACATCAAGATGTTAACGGATGAATTCAGAGCCGAACATCCAGATGTTAACGGATGAATTCAGAGCCGAACATCCAGATGTTAACGGATGAATTCAGAGCCGAACATCCAGATGTTAACGGATGAATTCAGAGCCGAACATCCAGATGTTAAGGGATGAATTCCGAGCCGAACATCCAGATGTTAACGGATGAATTCAGAGCCAAACATCCAGATGTTAACGGATGAATTCAGAGCCGAACATCCAGATGTTAACGGAGGAATTCAGAGCCGAACATCCAGATGTTAACGGAGGAATTCAGAGCCGAACATCCAGATGTTAACGGAGGAATTCAGAGCCGAACATCCAGATGTTAACGGAGGAATTCAGAGCCAAACATCCAGATGTTAAGGGATGAATTCCGAGCCGAACATCAAGATGTTAACGGATGAATTCAGAGCCGAACATCCAGATGTTAACGGATGAATTCAGAGCCGAACATCCAGATGTTAACGGATGAATTCAGAGCCGAACATCCAGATGTTAACGGATGAATTCAGAGCCAAACATCCAGATGTTAAGGGATGAATTCCGAGCCGAACATCCAGATGTTAACGGATAAATTCAGAGCCAAACATCCAGATGTTAACGGATGAATTCAGAGCCGAACATCCAGATGTTAACGGAGGAATTCAGAGCCGAACATCCAGATGTTAACGGAGGAATTCAGAGCCGAACATCCAGATGTTAACGGAGGAATTCAGAGCCGAACATCCAGATGTTAACGGGCGAATTCAGACAGAAACATCCAGATTTTAACGGATGAATTCAGTGCCAAACATCCAGATGTTACAGAATATAGAATGATGCAGCCTGATAAAATGGATGATTGCTTCTAATGAACAACAGCAGCCTCATTGGCTGCAGGTGAGGGGGCCACGCCCACCTGTCAGCAACAACCACCTGTGGAAGAAAGTAAGCAGAGCACAGAAACGCCGAACCCTGACACCTTATACATTTTAATGTTGTCATCCTGCAGATCTTAAGCAGACGGTTAAAGAAGAAGTTCCCGAAGACCACAAACCTTCTCCTGACCTGCATGACCCAGAGCCCCACCACATAAAGGAGGAACAGGAGGAAGTCTGCACCAGTCTGGGGGGAGAGCAGCTCGGTCTCAAGGAGGAGATTGATGCCATCAAGTTTCCAATCACTGCTGCTCCAATAAAGAGTGAGGATGATAAACATTCCTCTGTGCTCCCACAGCTTTACCACCACCACATTAAAGGCAGAGAGCTTCCAGTAGAGAACCATGGAGGAGAAGAATCCATGAGGATACAAGATCATGAAGATGGGTCCATTTCCTCAGAGACAGAAGAGGACAGTGATGTGGAGCTCTCCGTCTCTGAGCTAAAACAGTTAGCAGCTTTTGGATTAAAAACTAAGAACATGGAAATTAGCTGGAAGAAGGGCACAGCTCCCGAGCCAGAAGGAAACATGGCTGATAAACATTTTAGCTCCTCTGAGTTTGCTGTACAACTTCTTCAGAAAGACATGAAACACTCAGAAATTGGACCTTCAAGCTCCCTGGATAAAATGAAAAGTTTTAAAGAGAACAATGTAGACTCACAAAGGAGTTCCAAAAAAACGACTGAATTTATCTGTGAAGACTGCGGTAAAACATTCACTGAAAAACACAAGTTAAATATGCATAAGACAATTCACACAGGAAGCAAAGCTTTCTGCTGTGACCTTTGCAAACAGAGATTCAGTCGGAAAGTACATTTAAACACACACCTGAGGATCCACACAGGACAGAAACCTTTCTGTTGTGACCGATGCGGGCAGAGATTTAGCAGGAAAGAAAGCTTAAACAGACACACAAGGATCCACACCGGACAGAAACCCTTCTGTTGTGACCTCTGTGGGCAGAGATTCAGTGAAAAAGGAAATTTGAACCGGCACATGGGGATCCACACAGGACAGAAACCTTTCTGTTGTGACCTCTGTGGGCAGAGATTTAGCCAGAAAGTCAATTTAAACACACACATGTGGATCCATACAGGAGACAAACCTTTCTGTTGTGACCAATGTGGACAAAGATTTATTCAGGAGAGACTTTTAAACAAACACATGAGGATCCACTTAGAGCAGAAACTGTTTGGTTGTGACCTCTGTGGAAGGAGATTTAGTCTGAAGGGAAATTTAAATGCACACATGAGGATCCACACAGGACAGAAACCCTTCTGTTGTGACCGATGTGGACAGAGATTCAGCGAGAAAGGAAATCTAAACAGACACATGAGAATTCACACGAGGCAGAAACCTTTCTGTTGTTACCTGTGTGGCCATAAATTTAGCCAGAAGGGAAGTTTAAAGAGACACACGAGGCTTCATGAAGCAGGGAAATGAATAAGCTGTGACTGTTACAGTCAACTGTGTTCACTTATTGGTTTCTGCTTTTCCCAAGAGGCTCAATTTCAAATTTCTTTCTCAACACATTTTCTGAAGATTGTATGTTTTTTATAGATAACTGGAGTTTTTCCTGGATGTTTTTTATTCATCTTATTTCATCTGTTGGATAAATAGCTATTTAGCCTCAATTGAAATCTGCATTTTTTGAAAACTGAATTTTGTATTTGCTCAGATTTTCGAATAATATAAATATTTTTAAGAGACTTAACATATTTAGCTTGATTATATTATCAGAAAATATCAAAATCTATAATCTAGAAAATTTAAAGACAGAAGTAGATTTGTTAGAGTGGCGGCCATTAGGGGAGTGGTGGCCTAGTAGTCAGGGCATAGAGCATGAAATCCTGAGGTTCTAAGTTCAAGCGCCACTCCCACAGACTGCCACTCTGGGTCCCTGAGCCAGACCCTTAACCCCCCACTGCTCCCCGGGCGCCGCACAATGGCAGCCCACTGCTGCCCAAGGGTAGGGGTTAGATGCAGAGAGGGAATTTCGTTGCTCTGTATTTGTGACAGTTGAAGACAATAATAAGCTGAGTTATAAATGTCTTTTTGAACTTGGTGTAACTCTTAGTTTTTCCTGTCACTCATTTGGACCGTTTCTTCTCATTTGGGACAAGTCCATGATCAAGTCCATCTGGGGCTGTTTTGATTTATTTCACATCCAAAAGAAGTGGAGTCTAAGCTTTTCAATGATGTCAAACTTGTGAAGTAATCCCAAAATAATTGAAGAAGATCAGAACTTTAAGGAGAACTCTATTTTAGAATAAGCTTTAAAATCATGCGGGAAGCTTTCTGGAAAGTTAACAAAAGCTGTTAATTTGAATCCCTTTGTATACTTTGCTCCAGTAACGCCTCAGCAACAAACCAGACTATAAGTTACAGCACCGCTTTACATTAGTTGTTTTATATGTTAAGATGTTCAATAAAAATTACACCATCATTAACAGTAACACAAACACTGTTTTTATCTGTTTTTGGTGTCAGCAAGTTGCATGACTTTTGCATTATGGAGGCCTTTAACAATGTTCCAGTGGTTTCTAGCTGCAGCAGCTGAAGCTGGGAGCTAACTCCGGATCTCTGATCCTTTGGTCCAAAGATTATTACCTCAACAAACCAGCATTAAATCTTCTATTGGACCCCCATGAGCCCCCCAGAGCTGTATCATCTGAACCCAGTCCAACTCTACAGCTGAATCTGTTTCCTCAACATCAAACTCAAAACCTCCCCACATGCCCCCCCAAACCCCACCCTCAACTCCTCTCTGCAGCCAAACACAACCTGAAAGCCGTAAACTTGCTCCTCCATGGACTTTGTCTCCATAAACTGAACTGGGTAGGATTGTTTTATGACTGGGAGCTTACTGGAACGTCTGGAACTGACTCTGAGTCCTATGAGCAGAAAGTGGATTTTGAAAACACGTCCAGGAGAAATAAGGTCCAAATAAACAGTTGAGCAATGAATCAGTTCTAAATGTTTTAGGTTTCAGAGTTTTGTTAGGTTTCCTTTTAGAGTTTGATGTTGTTCCTCCTGTTTTTTTTTTCAGGTGGTTCATGTTTCTGTTTCTGAATCAACTCAGAACATTTAATAACCACAAAAGAGAAAATAATTCAGTTATTCACTTTAATATCAGATAATATTCGTTCAGAACATTGAAAAAGAAATACAGATATAGAAATATAAATCTTTGAACAGATAAAACTATCCCTGATTATTTGCTGGTGAGGATTGTTAGTCATCCACGTCATAGTTATTTCAAAAAAAGAAGCTGGACTTTTTTAGCTTTTGTTAGCCTGTTGGGGCATTGCAGGCTAACAAAGAAGCCAAACGACCCCCATTCCAAAGGGGGGGACCCGTTCATCCGTTTCTATTTGCATGTTTTCTAAACTAAAACCAGGCTTTGTTGGGCTGCTGGATAAAACCTGGAACTAAATGCTATTTCTGACATTTGGAATTGAAAAATCTTCCTGGATGGAAGAGAAACGTCTTCAAACTTAGAAACAAAGTCCAGAGGATTGATTTTAATTTTTTCTTTGGAATTTATCTGACTATTGAATTACTGACTCATTCAAATGGCCCAGAACTTGAGTGAACTTATTAAATGAACTGTTTAACAGTGACAGGAGGAGACCCTTCCGACTCGTCTCAGCACAAAGAAACCCAGGAACCAGGACTGGATCTAGAGAACCCAAACCCAGGATGCAGAGGTTCAGTGAATGTGGTGTTGAAGGTGTGGAGGTGGATCAGAGAGTCAGAGACTCTGTAGAAGGACAGAATGCCAGCAGGACAGTCTACATAGACTGCCACTCTGTTAGAGGCAGAGGCGTAAGAGATACGTGATTGTCTTTTATTGTGACAGACAATGTAACCAAAATTATTAGAGCAGTAGAGCCTCCAGGAGTGATCATTCTCTCCAAACCAACAGTCTCCACTGTCTCCTTTCCTCCTGATTCTTCCGTAACTCACTGATATATCAACTCCATCTCTCCACTCAACCTCCCAGTAATGCCGACCAGTCAGACCATCACTACACAGCAGCTGAGGTTCATCAAATCTGTCTGGATGATCAGGATAGGACTGAAGCTCCTCCATCAGTGTCACTTTCCTGTTGCCTTCAGACAGTTTCAGGTTTCTGTTCACTGTGTTTGGGTCGATGGTGATCTGACGGGAATCTGATGGAGAGAAAAAAAAACAGTCCAGCTGCAGTTATTGATCATTTATTGACTCTTTGATGAAGAATCCTGAGTGATTGATGGACAGTTTGAAGATGGTTGAATTTGAGCTGCTTTGCTGTCAGGAATCAATGAAAACAAACTTACACTTCCTCAGACCTGGTGTCAACCATCGTTCTCCAGCAGGCTCCACCCTGAAAGGAGGAGGATATCAGACCATCAGTCTCTTTCAGCTAGCAGATATGGACATTACATGTCTCTGGGACACACATAGTCTTACGCTGAGAAATGAACAGTCCAACATTTTCACACGTCCCCTCATTGGAAACATCAACAGATTTTCAATCATTTTCCTTTGAGCCTCTATTAGTGAGGAGATTCTTCCAGAAAACTGGGTAATGATTTCTGCTGTCCAATAAATCGCATTTCACAGGCAGCTGAAATATTCCTGGACACTAGTGTTAAATCATGGACCGATCCATTTCCAGACCAATATTTGTTCTCGTTCTTCTTCCATCAGTTAAAGGCACACTATGCAACATTTTTCAGTTAATTAATGTGTTCCATATCGTTTTGGATGATTAAATAAGTCATTTCAGGTTGAACAAAGGTTTTCTCGGCCGCCCTGGTGGTCTGTGGGGGAAATACCGCACTTGCAATTGCAGGAGCCCTCGGCCCGCACCCACAGGCTCAGAAGTCTTGCGAGAGTCGGTCTTGCTTTACGGCGAGAACTGCTACACGCCCCCAGTTAAAAGCATGCTCGTTGCTAGCACAGTGGCGATATTTGTGTAGTTATCATGGCGGAACCAGCGTGAAAACAGCGAAAGCCCATGTCGGAGCAGGCAAGAAAGAGGAAAAGGACTCCGGACAGAGAGAGGAGTCGTACACGGGTGAACATCGGGCAAGCTTTTTCCGAATGGCGAGAGCTAAAATAAAAAGAAGGCTGCAAGGCTGACGCGGACATCGCGTTTCTGCTGATGCGATTGTAAGTAACATTGGAATGGTTTCTCTCTCTCTGTGTGCATGTTCATACTTTCACTGTGTTAGTCATTCGTTGCGTTCGCCTGTCTGCTAAGCTCAAAACAACCGCGCCTGGCTTGACGGAGGAACCAGGAGAACAGCTGAGCATATTTACGACAGTGCACTTTTACTTTCGCCCTCTAGGGGGGAGCCTCGCTGGAATATCAACACCGGTTGCATAGTATACCTTTAAACTGAATCAGTTAGGCCCTCTAATCGTTATTATCTGCTCCGTTTCCATCCCAAAATATTCCAGGTGCATTAACCATAATAATAATATTAACTTTAGTAACAGGTAGTTTTGCATGGCTGTTTAGACCCCAAGCTGCACCTAACACTGCTAAAACTCCGTCAGAGTTCTCTAGAGTGTAAATAGCAGCTAAATAGATTGGTTGAGTATCACTCATTTAGTCGAGGTTTTTTTTTTTTTACTGCTATTTGTTCTACTTTATGTGGAATGGTGTTTGACAATAAATGATTACATTAGAAATGGTTGTTTATTCATTCCATATGAAGGCAGAATAAATGTTTGACTATGATTTGTTCTTGAATTAAACTTACAATTGTGATCCTTACACACACCAAGTAGGACAGAACAACACATGACAGTCTGAAAGTTATTTTTCTAAATAATTATAGTTAGAACTGCATTTATTGCATAAAAAGATCAATATGTCATCACAGACACATTCCTGCATGCATCATAATTTATTCCTTAACTACAAAAGTAAGAACACTGTTGATAAAATAATACAATTTATCGTGCTCTTGCTCCCAGTCTTGTTTTTTGTTGAATCAGAGTTGAATCAGCAAGCTGTCACAGATGAGACTTCAGTCTGACATTAAGCTGTTCAACAGAGTCCAGCTTAACAGAGTTGTGTGGGAGTCGCAGACTAGATTATATTTTGCATGCACTGGGAGTGTTATTTTAGTTCTTAGTTGGGTTTGTAGTGCTGAGGAAGTCTGGGCATATACTTAGCCACCCCAAATGCTGATTTAGGAAGATAATATGGAGGAAAACGGTGAATAGGAGAGAGGTGCAGCCAAACAGGCAGGTTTCAATTAGCTGTAGTTGCTCAGTCTCTAAAAAGTAAATGGTAGTAAGAATTAATCATATAGTGCTTCTCTATCCTATGGGGTCCCACAAAGCTTAATTTTAGGGCCCCTGGTATTTTCTCTGTCTTTGCTGCCACTTGGGTACTAAAAAGCACATGGGATTGATTTCTATTTTTATTCTGATGACTACCAGATCTATTTGCCCCTAAAGCAGGGAGATGATTATTCAGTGAAATCTTTCTTAACCCTTTATAGGGCGCTCAGTGAGATCCTTTGAAAATCTAAATTTCCAGCCAATAGTTTTACTGGAATCCAGGATAAGACCTTATTTCCTTTGAAACATTCAAAAAATATGGAAATTGTGATGGTAAAAATGACTGTCAATGTAATTAGCAGAAACGCCAACTTGCCCGAATATATTAAGAAAAATAACAAAAGTGCTTCTAGAAGAAATTCATGAAAAACACTCAGAGTGAAAGAAACACATTTTATTGGTCCAATATAACCTTAGAGGCTTTAATGCTGATACTGACAGTAAAATCTTGATTGCAATGTAAATCGTAGTTGACAATAAAGGTTGGTCGGTCG